AGGTATAATATTTTTACTTATTTTTTTTTTTTTTTTTAAGGAAAAAGAACAAATAAGACTTGACCTAATAAAAGAACAGATAAAACCAGCTGTTTCATTGGGAAATGAGAAAAAGAGGTCAGCAACTAGCGATCGGTCTCGAGTGAAACGAACAAAGGTTAGTAAACAATCAGCACAATCATCTTCATCTTCATCTTCACAATTAGATGTAAAATTTCCTGTGCAGTTGGATGGATTTGATAATATTACAGTGAAACAAGAATCAGTTGAATCAGAACCAATTAGTATTCCATTGATTAAAAAAGAGGTATTTCATGAGCCATCTCCAACTACACCAACATCACCACCACCTTCAACACCTATACTTGATTTGATTCAAGAAGAATCAATTAAAACCAATTTAGATGCCATAAAATTAGAACCAAAATTAATTATAACTGATATTGTTTAGACGGAAGAAGAAATAGTACAAGAGAGGCAAATTGAAGTTGAACCTATCAGTTTAACGGCTGATGAAATACTTATGGCAGAAGAAGGTCAGGCTGCTGCAGCGATGTTGTTAGAGATAATGAGTGATGTGGAAGAGAAGTATAATAATTCGCCATAAATATTGTCATCACCTTCATCTACACCTCCACCATCTGAAAACAATTTAGAGTCCAAGTACAGTCCACCTATTTATCACAATAGTTATAATATAAAATATTATATTAATAACTGATTAATTTATAATTTAGTACGTTATATTGTATTCTGTTAAGAAATTATATCAAAAATTATATTTAATTATATTTGGAAAAATCATTATTTATTTTACACGATTTCTGTTAGCTGTTATTATTAATATTGTAATGTACCTGTTATAATAATAATACATAGTACATTATTATTAAATCATGTAACTGCTATTCTCCATTACTACACCGTTGTATTTTAAATTCTGAGTGAAATGTGGAATGTATTGGCTTAAATATGATGTGTTTTATTTTGTGTTTGTGTACACAATTTCAACCAAAATGATAATCACAATTATTAAAGATTTTATATAGAAAATGTTGTCTAGTTGGTATGTCGAAGAGGTTGATTACATAATTTCTCAACAGTTTTTAATAATTGAGAAATACTGACGATAAGTTATAAAAAAAGGCAACATTTATGTACGGTATATTTGACAAAATAAAATATAGGTACGTATATTATTTTTCTTCGTAACTCGAAAAATAATAATCGTAAATCGTTTTGGTTTAAAAAATTATCTTGAGAATTTAACAAACATTTTTTCAAACATATTTATCACTACTTAATGAAAAAAAAAAATTGAAATTATTTTCAAAAACAATTTTATGAGCCTCATGCATACTATGCACATTCACCACAGTAGATTCGACCCAAGTTCACTGGCCATGGTTTCACTCAAGGGCTTGACCTTGCCATCAGTACTAAGATTCGTGAAATACATTTTCATTTTAACTTCGCACCAATTGTAAAATTAAGCAGGTGGCATATATGCAAATGATCGAAATACAGGAGACTGTTTCGCACGTTCTATGACAGCATTTGCAATAGGTTTATGCACATGACGCAGAAGTAAAGTACTGGGAGGTAACATAATGGGTTACAGTTCGGGATTGTATCAACTGAAATTTTAGTCATGAACATTATACGAAAATTGAAAGGTTAAACATTTTAGAATTAAACTGACAAGACAATTTTTAAAAAATGATAACTTTGATAAGCAACATACGTTATCAGAAGAATAAATTTGGGAAAAAAAAATAGGTATATTATACCAATTTTTTTTTGTTAAATATCTTACGTTTTTTAATAAATATTTTAGCAAAAATAAGAACATAAATATTTACATATTTTGACTTTTTTATTACATAAAAATCTGCACCCTACTTATAATAACATTTTAGTGATTTAAATTATATAGATATACATTGATGTAAAGGAAACTTTTTAGTTGGGTCCCGAGATATTTGATTGCTTAAAAAAGCACGATTTGGGTCCGCGGTTCTTTAATAATACTCAAATTGGGTCCATGGTCACATTTGATACTACGTGAATTGGGTCCAGCCTACCATAACGGGAGGGGCGGATTATAAATAAGTATACTCTATGAGTCGGCTGGGGCTGGCCGGCTGACGGTTGTCGTCGATCATACGGTCACAATAATATTGTTTTTATCGACAATTCTTTAATTTATGTTATAAAAATAAAAGACGAAAATTTGTAATAATAACAATACATTATAACGTTATTACTAAGATAATGCAATTTAATAGTACATCAAATTAAATCAACACAATTTGATACGGCCAACGGGGGGTCGTAAGACTTATATTTTTATGTTGAATACAATATCATTTTAAATGATGAAGCGTTAGATATGCGTGTCTTACTAACTTAATAGTTTACAACAGATAATATCATGGAAAAAGCAATGATTTTTTTTCGTCAATCGAATAGTGTATTGAATATTACTTTATTCGATGATCAACATTCGATAGTCGTTTGAGAATACGATAGATCGAATATTCTGTGTCGAATGAACTTTTATGATCGAATAGTGTCAATCGAACTATTCTATTCGATCATCACTTTCGATGCATTTGAGAATAGGCTCCCAGATTTAAATTCAGCAATTTATATTTGTTGCAACAATTATTTTAAGATAACAGCAATGAATGTTATACTTAACCATTTTGATGGAATGTAAAACGATAACCTAAGGTATTGCATACTCGGCAAAATACGAAGGCGCACAAGTGTATCCTGTTTTACTTTTCCTGTATAATGTGTTCAATTTATGACAAAGAAAAAAAAACATACGCCAACGGCTAGAACCGTACGCAAAATACTTCAATCATCAATTTTTTACGAATTTTTTAATTTACAAAAACTAAATACCTAATCAGGAATATCACATTTTAATCTTTACGGAACAAGTGACTCCAATGTTGCAGACAATTTCAAATGATCAATACTTTATACGTGACCATTTTAGTACAAGAATCGCTGGAAAACCTTTAATACAAGTACCTACACATTTATGATTTTATAGTAGATGGTGACCGTTTTTCATTTAAGTTCATTATTACATATAATTAGTCGTTTCGTAGTAGGTACACGTAAATGGTGCATGGTATAATATATTGTATATAGTATTATAAATTTAAAAACTCTGTAACCATTTAGTGTAGAAAGTCTGTTTAATGTGTTCATTCTATAATCAGTGGTATAACCATGGGCGTAGTATACATGGGGCTGTGGGGGCTGTAGCTCTCTCATTTTATCTAAAATTAATAAATTCAAGTTATAAATGTTTTTATAGATTTTTGTACAATTCATAAAGCTTTAAATATTAGCAGTCTATTGTGTATTGACAATCAATGCACTAGCATACATAAAACTACTTATTTTTATCACAAATATGTTTATTTATAGATTAATGTCATATTAAGTTTTTGGATATACCCTATGCGATCGTAGCGCCATGAATTATCGCGTCGTCCGATGATGATAAAACGATAACAGACAATAATTATTTATTTTTCTCGAAATTGGTGACTGGTCTGATTTTATTGTTTGTTCGTGTACTGTTAATCACACACATACGACTGTCTTATATTTTACTATAAAGCATATTATTTCATACATTTTTAATTAATTTTGATATTTTTGTTTCTTTTTTTTTTGTTATTATATTTTTTTAAAAAAAAATGTTCAGTATATTTAATATAAAGAAAAAGCCTGACGAGAAAACATTACCACCAACTAGGGACAATTGTCGATAACGAAGACTGCAGTGGATGATCCAAGTCCATTAAATAGTAAAATTAAAATTAATAATTCCTCAATACCTGATGATCTTAACAATATTCAACCCTAGCATTCTGAAATTGCATTAAATTACTCGTTTCTGCTAGACTTAGGGAACTTGGAAACAGTCAACTATGGACCAACTCAAATTAAACTAAACGTAAGTACTAGAGGTAAGCAAAAAACATAAATGTTTTTAAAACATCGAGGTTTATGTTCGATACATCGATGTTTAGTCTTCGATATATTGAAAAAAACATCGATATTATATCGATATTTTGAAATTTTTTATATTAGTTTTTTCTTAAAATTCTTTGTATTACAATTTTGCCTCGCACCAAAAGTTGTCAGTTGTCACAAATGTTTGTATGTTTATTCAGCGCATTTTTTAAACGTGTTAACTAGACAATACAAATGTCGCTCAGTGACAATATTTTGTTGCTTAGTTGATAGTGCTTTGGAAAGTTGGGCAAAACACAATTAACTTTTGAAAGAAGATATTTTATTAATTATTTAAAAAAAAAAAATAAGTTTAATTTAATAACTCAAAATTAATTTTTTTTTTTATTTATTGTAAAATAAAATGTCAGGTAAATGAGGCACTTATAAAATGTTTTTTCTAGGAAATGTTCTTTTTCGATTTAATTCAAACTAAAGAAAGGAATTTTTGGAATACATTTTTCTAGTCCTATAATATAGCCCCCACAGATAATAATACCAAGCTACGCCCATGGGTAATAAATACTTAGGTCCTGCACTATAACAAAATTGCATTAAAAAATTCATTATAAATCAATGGTGAAACTTTATCAAGTTATTTTAAGCCCATACATTTTTTAAAAATTAGATTTACACAATAGCTAGTATGGATTTTTTTTCAAATAGCAGAATAAAATTTTAAAATTTGAGTTTTAAATATCAAAAATATCTTTTCGTATAATTCTGTTGTAGCACAAGACCTAAGTATTTATTGAAAAAAAATAATTATGAAGAATAAACAGAACGAAAGTAATTCCATTTGTCAAATCATCCTGGGAAATTCTGTATATTTATGCATTACAAATTACAATTTAAAAAACAAGAGAATAAAAGCATTAAAAAAAATTGACTTTCATTTTTTTGAATCGATTTACAAGATGTCACTATTAACCAAAATTAACCGTTTTATAATTAAGGATACAGTGAAAGTTACGGTTTTTATGTATCGGCTATATCGTAACTGTTCCCAGGAGCTGATCTGAAGCTTTTTTAAAGAGGAGGCGAATAGAAATACTATTGCTATTATTTTATTATACATAAATTATACTATTATTCATTATCATAAAACATGCTACCCATTCAAAAGGATATACATAATATTCGATAGTTATTATTTATTAAATAAATCTGTGATTAAAAGGAAAATGTCAAGCAGAAAGTGATCACCACATAACCCCCCCCCCTCGCAATAAATCCGTCCTTAACCGATCTGTTATCAATAAATGTACTTCGCTATTCGAGCTACGAATTGTACAAGACGCGAAAACATAAACATTAGAGTTGCAAATGTTTGTCAAGCAATTCGTCATCTTAATCTTAATGACTTGACCGTGGACAAAGCTGGGTTTTTGTTTTCAATTGGATTGCGGAGAAATGTCTTCTGATGGGGAACCACCGGGGTGGTCCGCGTCAGGGACCGATTTACGTGCTTATAAATGCGATTTTCGCGACGGGTCGACGGGGAATAACAATATTGTCACTACGACAAACGCATTTATCTGCTTGAACTATTATTAATACGCGCGTAAGGGTGATATCGGCCCTGTAAACAATAATGTGTACATTGGACACGTGTTGAATTGGCGTGCTATTCGTCTCGGCTTGATATTAAGAGGTCTGCATAATATTGTACAACGCGTATACAGGACGTGTGTACGTATATATGTTCGCATCCACTTTGCAGCGTCTTTCCGGTAAAACGGTTCGCGGCTAATGGACTCGGAATAGTAATAGTTATAATAATAATAATAATAATAATAATAATAATAATAATAATAGCGATTCGTATACAATTTGTATACTATGCAAACGTCGTGATACGACGAATGGATTACGTACAACGCCCGCCGTTCATATGCACCTGGTGTACGATCGTGGTATACTGGCGATAGTTAAATGCTGTGCACGGCTAAAAGAGACATTTGTTTCTGGTTCAAAAATACGACGAACAGTTCGAATTTATTCGTGATCCTACGTTGCTTTATTCTTAAATATATCATAATATATTAATAGTATCTATGTTACGGTGAATGATGTAAACGTGGTAAAAGACGTCATTCCCCGGTAAATGACATCATTTACCTAAAAATTGGTAAACGTTGTAAATGCAGACATTCTCCGGTTATTGTCGTCAATCACCAGTTTAATTGGAGAATGATGTTTAATACTTTTATAAACGAAAATCCCAACTAGCAATAACGTCGATAACCCAAATAATAATTTGAGATAATCTTTTAGTTTATTAGTTAGTATCGACGGGTATATGATAGCGAGTTGTATTTGCTACGAATGTGTGTTTTATAATATTATTTGTAAACATTTGTGACAGAAATAACAGAATATGGAGTGTTGAAACACAAATATACACGAGCACAAATTTCTCTAAGTAAAGAAAAATTTCTAGAGCTAGATGAAGCCATGAAAAAAATTAAAGACAGGGAAATAACATTAAAAGAAGCAGCAGGACATGGAATAGCTGGTCATCAAGGATTTAATCGATGCAACTGCAAAACTGGTTGTGGTACTAAAAAATGTGTTTGTAATGCAGTGGAAATGTTGTGCAGTTCAAAATTTCATAGTAACCAAAATTGTACAAATAAATAATTTGTAATATGCACGTATTTTATTATTTTTTTATTTTAACAATAAATCATTATTATAAATAGTACCTATAGTAAAAAAATCAGTGTATTATTTGAGATTTATCATCATTTACCACCAGTTTTGGTAAATGACATTAATGACCGGTGAAAGATGTACATTTGAATTTAAAATCTGGTTTTTTACATCATTTACCTACATAATCGAATCATTTTGGTAAAAGACGTCATTCACCAATATTCATCTTTTACCGTAACATCTATATCTCATTATTATCGGTTAGTAAACTGTAATTACTAATTTGAGTAAATGCCTATTGTCTGATTTATAATATATTTAGGCAAGTACGATGGTGCTTTTTGTACAACAAATTATTTATAGAAAGAAAAAAAAACCATCGCCGGAAAACTAAAGTATTTCTCGTATCGTTTAGGGTATAAATTCTACAACGAAATAATTCAATGTTTTGTTTTTACAGTAGACTCGACATTTGTATTCGGTAAAAAAATAGGTCGAGTTTTTCCGTTTTCAGTTCGATTGGATATCTCTAATTATAATCGTCTGAGTGAATGTATGACAAATCAATAGCCATACTGGTATCATTGAGATCGAACAATAATAGTTAATTATAATTATATCAATTTTTTCTTCAGCACTTTGAACTATCCACAGTGGCTTTTTTTATATAAGTTTGACTGTTTCGATGGTACAACAATCAAAGGAAACCACCATATAATGTATACATTATAATGTTGTAAGTATTATACTATTCATCAATATTTATTTGATCTTAATAAAGTAAAACTATTAAAGCTGTAACTTTAGCTAAGACGATATTTCAACCGAAAAATCTATAACTAATAAAAGCTGCACAGAATTATAATTTCAGAATATATAAAATGTATAAATTTAAAAAAAAATCCTTAGTCATAAAACTATGCAAATAGTCCGTAAGACGTTAGGATTTTAATGAGAAACTCGATCGATGTTACATGATAATAATTTAATCAAAAGCGTAAACATTTTAAGCATTTACTAATATTTTGGGCAATATGAAATTTTTATTTCTGATATAGGAATGTAATAGATGACTGATAAAATGACTTACTATTTCACGAACCTTGTTTTTGGATAAAAGATCGGAGTCGTTTCGAAAAGAAAAATGGACCGACCTGACTTTTAAACAAGACGGCAAAGTCTGCAAAGACTTCTTGAAAAATAGACATTTTTTTTCTTTTTATAAAAGTTTACGTACATTTCTATTCGGTTTCCATTCAGGGTTAATGTTTTGGTTCTCGCAAAAAACATTCGTCAAACAATCAACAATCGAAGATGACTTGTGTTCCATTTTTCTCCCCGGTAATGCGCGTGGATTTACGACGTGAAATCATACGTTACATCAGTGCTGACACAGATAATATCGTAGGAGGTATATAAAACGTAAGAAAACGTATCGGTGGACATTTTGTTGAAATAGAACGACGTCGTGTTTTATATTAAAACAAATCGCACGACGTACTGTACAAGTGCTATTATACATCGTCATCTATATAAGACTGCGGTGTTTTAAAATTACATTATTACAAGAATGCGATAAACAAAAGAGATTGACGGACGGATATGGTCTTATGGTGTACATGATAATATTTTTCGGTTCATAATATTTATAAATTCAGCTGTACTGGATTTCGATTTCTGCGGGCAATCCCATCATTCCCCTTTTGTTCACGTATTATTTTCGTACAGATAAGAGAGAATGACTAGAAAACAAAATTCACGGCATAATTGCAACAACGATTCATATCGGTAAACGAGCGGCCAGATTTTTTTTCTGATGACCGGGAGGGACAGTCGTTTCTCATTCGAATGTTAAATGTAGAGCACATAAATAGTTTATGGTAAATAATATAGTAAATAATTATGGAAAAACAGTCGTAAATTTAAAAACAATCGCGCGCTTATAGATCCACTAGCCTCACAGCGGCAACGCCGAATGATAATTCTATACCTTTTGATGACTGGAAATTACAGTTTTAAGAATTTTTATTTCGCAACAAAGTTACCAACGCGTATGGAATACAAATAACTGCAGATGGTCTTACACATATTGCTTCACAAATACCCAGACTGTATCTGTTACAGCGAAAATGGTAAAATATTATTGAATAATTAATATGTCGGGAATACTATTTGGAATCGACGTGTGTAACATAATGTTGTATTTATTCGATAATTCACAACAACAATGGTATAAACCAACCATAAAACAAAAATGATGGTTAAAATTTTAATCCGACTGCCGTGATACTCATATAGAAAAATGTTGTCGAATTTGTATTCATCACAAGTTTTTTTTCCTTTCCATAAATTAAAATTGTATGCTATGTATAGACCATGAATTTTTTAATAAAATTCTTTGTTTTTTTTCCCCACAAAATGTTACAAATTTTTTTAATTATTTTGGGTATCGTAATTGGTGATAAGACTGTATACCAAAATCTTTAACCAGTGCTACATTATGTAACCATGATAATAAATTCTAAAGTTTTTATACTTTATAGCTGGTACAGCTACAAGCCTGACTTTGTTCAGGTAGGAGTGGGGATAGGGTAGGCAGGTGCAATTCGTATGACATGATCAGTAGGGAACGGATTTAAATGTAATAAATAAAAATAAATATGTAAATATATATGGAAATATAATTTATAAAATCTAAAAACATCCAAATAGGTATGTGGAGAAAAAATTTAATTAAAAAAAAAATAAAAATACAATTACTATTATTAAATTATCAAAATAATTTGTTGCATTGAATCACTACAATTTCTTAGCCACAAATGTGTTTCATTAGCATGTGAATCCAAATAACTAATTTTTATTTTGCATTTTTTGGTGTTTGTTACTTTTTAAGTCATTTTTTGACACTTTTAGGTAATTTTTCATAACTGATTTCACCTAGTTCAATTTTTAATGTTTCTTATCGACCATTATGCCGATAACTCAAGACTTGTCCAATTTTATCTCGTCGTTGTCGTGTTGTAGGGAATAGTATTATACCTAAATTTTATTATTTTTTTCTAATATTTTCGAAATGGGGAAAATTAAAATGTCGGTTAGTGCTCACTTCAGTGGACGTGGAAAGAAATTTTCCCTAATATAAATATTTATAAATAGATAATCGTCATTGATTTACTTTTGATAATATTAAATATGCTCTAATCATATAATGCAATGATTTTGATTTTTAAGTAATTTGTAAGCTTTGATAAATTTGTAAAACAAATGTTTGTAATTTTTGTGTCATATTTTGATTAATTTTCAAGTTTTGATAAATTTATATAAAATGTTATAATAAAATAAAATAAAATATTTAAAAAAAATGTATTTTTATTAATTTAAAACAAATATTTGTAATTATTTAGGTAATTTTTTAATGTTTTTAAGGTCATCAACTTTCGAATCCTAGTTATTATATACAATTATTGTGAAATATGTAAAAATATGTAATTATACCAAAATATGTAAAAATATATAAAGTAAAAGTATCATCATTTTAATAAGAATTATTTAAATCATGAACATTTCTTATCGAATCTTAAATATTTTATTTTAATAAAAATATGCATTTACATATAAATCCGTTCCCTAATTTTCAATTATGACCATTATTTGGTATCGTTAAATTTCGTTTTGACTTCTGATTTTTACTGTTGGGTTAGATAAATTGCACAGTCTGTTATTTGAATTAAATGAATATTTAAACGTTATAAATCGTAAATTGAATCAAATTGAATAGCGTAAAAGTTAAAATTAATTTTTTCAAAATGCTTATAGATTTTCGCTATCGAAAAAGATGTTGCCTTTTGAAAATCAAAACTTGATAAAATTTTATTAAATAAGGGAGATAGTAAACGTTATCAAAATTATAACATAGTGTAAAGTAGTAAAACCTAAAAAGAAACCTGATAAACAAATGACTTTAAAATGTCTAATACAGAGATATAGACTAATTCATGATAAAAAAGTTACCAAATTACCCTGTATAATTATAATTAATAAAGTATAAACAAATTAATCTTTTTCTTTTTTTTTTGGCACATTGAATTTGCCCGCGGATTTAAAATAGTTAAAACACTATGTTCTGAGACATAATAGAATACTATTGTTGATATCTATGTTGATCGTATCTGGTTGTATAGTATTTGTTTGTTTCTATTGCATAAACATAATATTTATACATATTTAAGGCATGGCCTTTATTAAATAATATATCGCCTGAGAGTAATTTTGATAGATTTGTTACTGGATATTGTGTAGTAAATATGAGCGAATCACAGACGAACGGTTCAACTGATGACCTTTGTGAAGGTATATTATGATTTATAATATATACATATATAAAATGTGTATTTACTACATATAAATGATAACGAATTGGTGTCTTGTAATTGGTACAGAAATAATAGATTTGTAAACTTCATTAATGGGTTATAAAATTGTAGCTCGGCAAGCCATTACATAGTTTATTACAATGTTTAAAATGTTTTTTAATATAAAAACGTCAAAAAACATAAATTGTTTTGCATAGACATAGGCTCGGGATGAGACCCGACTTGACTGGAATTTTTTATGGAGCATAGTAAAATTTAAAATAACCATAGTAAAATATCTATATATATTTTAATATGTTCATGTAAATCATTTAATTGTATTTATATCATTTGATTTTAAAGAATTTAAATTTTTACTTTCACCTTCAAAATTATATGTCTAAAATTTAGCAATTTAATACTTGATTCTATGTATAGATATAAATACTACATTGTTTTTAATTTACAACAGAATCTACTATGTTGAAGTGTTAGAAAAAAATTAGGGGTACTGTCTAAGTATTGGGGCACTAATTGTATTCAGGTTCGACTGGAAGTTGAAGTCTGTGCACGCCTATGTTATTTTGGTATATCTTTAGAAAAATTAGGATTATAAATTGGTTATTTCAGATT